CCTCAGTTGCTTTTAAGGTATCTGCTTTAGTTTCTCTGTGTTAAGGGCAACAAATGCTAGCTAATTTTTTAGGTTTCTTACCTATCCTCACCCCTTCCTTGTGTGCTCTTGCTTTTATCATGTGCTCATAGTCCAATCCCCTTGTTGTGTTTGCCCTTGATCTAATGTCCACATATGAGGGAGAACATACGATTTTTGGTTTTTTGAGCCAGGCTAACCTCACTCAGAATGATGTTCTCCAATTCCATCCATTTACCAGCGAATGATAACATTTCGTTCTTCATGGCTGTATAAAATTCCATTGTGTATAGATACCACATTTTCTTAATCCATTCGTCAGTAGTGGGGCATCTTGGCTGTTTCCATAACTTGGCTATTGTGAATAGTGCCGCAATAAACATGGATGTGCAGGTGCCTCTGGAGTAACAGTCTTTTGGGTATATCCCCAAGAGTGGTATTGCTGGATCAAATGGTCAGATCTTGTTTTTTTTTTTTTTTTAATCATGATAAAATACACATAACATGAGTTCCTCTCCCCCTTTGCTAGTGGTACTGGGGTTTGAATACAGGACCTTGAGCTTGCTAGGCAGGTGCTCTATCACTTGATAGAGCCCAAATTTCCTCATTTTAACCATTTTTATGCACACAATTCAGTGGTGTTAATCGTATTGTATAACCGACATCACCATCCATTTCCTGAACCTTTTCATCATTCTAACTACAAACTCTGTGTCCTTTAAACAAGAGCTCCTCTCTTCCTCCAGCCCCTGGCAAACTGTTCTTCTTTCTGTTTCTGTGAATATGCTTGCTCTAGGTACCTCCTACAGCTGGAATCACAGAATGTTTGTCCTTTTATGCCTGGCTTATTTCACTTAGCATATTTCAGGGGCTCATCCATTTTCTTTTTCCTCTTCTCTTCTTCCTACTTTTTTTCTTCTTTTTTTGCAGTGCTGAGGAGCAAACCCAGGGCCTCCTGCATGCTAGTCAAGTGCCGTACCACCAAGTCACATTTCCAGCCCCTCATTCTTTTTAGGGCTGAATTACACTCTAGTTTGTGGCTGTGCCACTTTTGATTATTCATTCACCTGTTGATGGACAGTAAGTTGTTTGCACATTTTGGCTGTTGTAAATAATGCTCCTACCTCACTTTTCTTTTGTTCGATGTTGCCCGGGCTGGTTTGGAACTCTTGCGCTCAGGTGATTCCCCTGCCTCAGCCTCCTGAGTAACTGGGACCATGAGCATGCTCCACGTCACCTATTCCTTCTGTAGAGTTGCCTCTGCTTTGCAAATGTGTTCAGGTGTTACTTTTATTTCTTTAAATATAGTTAACTTAGTTGTTTTAAAGTCTACATCACTCTGTGGGGGAGAGTACACGTTACTCTGATTTTCTCCTAATAGCAATGACTGTTTATTTGCTAATTGAGTGTTTATGGTGACTTTACATAATATAACTGCTGCAAATAATAAGAATTCAGTATATGTGTGTGTGTGTGTGTGTGTGTGTGTGTGTGTGTATACATAGATGCATATATGCATTTTCCCCTGGACCATTTGAGAATAATTTGTAGTCAGTTGTCCCCAAAATACTATTGATGGAAAAGTTAAAACAACCAAATATAATGCTTGATTGTAATCCCAGCACTCAGGATGCTAAAGCAGAAAGATTGCAAGTTTGAGGTTGGCCTGGGCTACAGAGCATGATTTTGTCTTAGAAAACCAAAACCAACAAGCATCACCAACAAAAAACCCAACCAAATTTGAGAAAGGCTTCTTTTTTTATTTCTTTCTGGTTCGGAATCCATTCCAGGGCCACACATTGCATTTTGTTGTCTTAGTCTCTGTGTCAGTTACCTGACTATTGCCACGACAAAATACTTGAGAGGCTCGACATAAAGGAGGAAAGGTTTATTGTAGCTCGCAGATTTGGTCCGTGGTCGTTGACTCCATTGTATTTGAGCCCATGGGGAGCAGAACCCCACGGTGGGGAGCATATAGTAGGGCAAAGCTGCTCACCTCGTAGCAGCCAGAAAGCAAAGAGAGGGGAGGGGTAGGGTCCTAATATGACTAACTTCCAACTAGGCCCCTCCACCAACTGGGGACCAAACCTGTAACACATGACCTTTGGGAGACATTCAAGACCCAAACCATAGCAATCGCCTTCAACTTGGAGTTCTTTCCTTTTTTTTTTTTTTTTAAATAGTCCTAGGGTTTGAACTCAACCTTATGTTTGCTAGGCAGGTGCTCTACCACTTGAGCTACACCCTTAGTCTGGTCTTTACTTTTTGTTGACTGATTTTTTTAGTGGTCCTGGGGTTTGAACTCAGGCTTCAAACTTGCTAGGCAGACACTCTGCCATCTTCACTTTTTAATGATGTAGGCATTTCTCCTTGTTTTGTTTCTGTTTTTTGAGACAGGGGCTTGCTGTGTAGCCCAGGCTGGCCTTGAGCTTGAAATCCTCCTGCCTCTGCCTCTTGAGTGCTGGGATTGTAAGCATGTGCCACACCACACCCAGCTCCATTGGCTTTTGATCTATTTCTGTTCAGTTCTAGATATTTTGAGAATATTTTTTCTCAAATTGAGCTTTTTCCAAATGGGGTTTCTTTAATTGAGGGGTAGGGTAAGGTGCTGGTCGTTGAACCCAGGACCTTGAACTTGCTCTCACACTTGAGCCATTCCCTCAGCCCTTTTGTATTGCATTTTGTTTTTTGAGATTGGGTCTTACTAACTTTGCCCTGGTTGGGTTTGAGCCTTCTGCTTTTATTTCCTGAGTTGCCGTGTTTAAAGGCATGCATCACCATGCTAGGCTCTTTGGTGTTTTTTCATTATTACTTACACTATTCGCATGATGCGTTCAAGCAGAAATAACCACAGAAGGGCTGGCATGATGGTGCATGCCTGTAATCTCAAGTACTTGGATGGCTGAGGTAGGAAGACTGTTTGAGACCAGCCTGGGCGACCCCATCCTTTTTTTTTTTTGGCAGTACTGGGGTTTGAACTCAAGGCCTCACATTTGCTAGGCAGGTTGCCTCACCGCTTGAGCCACTCTGCCAGCTCTTTTTTTGTTTTTTGAAGGACTAACCACAGAAGTGATCCTGTGTTCTTTCTCAGTGCCTTCTATTTCTCTGTTATAAAGTGTTGTATAGTAGGTAAATATTTAGGCTTTTTTGTGTGTATTTTTAACCTTGGTGATTTGGCAGTTTGACTAAGGAAAATGGTAACTTTCTCAAGTTTGTGTTAGAGTACCTGAATGAAACTTACAGCACTGGGTCTGGTCAGCCCCCCATCCATGGGAGGAAAAGGAGAGAGTGTGATGAATAAAATTCCCAGACAACCTAAAACACTTCAGTCAGTAACCACAGTGTTCACCCCTGTGACAGTTTTGATTGTCGGTAACAAAAACCAAATCCAATTTAAGCTAGTTCAACAAACCAAACAAGATACAGGTAAATTTCTCGAAGACACCCAGCACAGGAATTTCCCAGGTGACTAAAAGGAGAACTGAGAAGCCACATGTTTCCTGGGCAGCACTGGCCCCACCACACCCTCTTGGTTCTTGCCTCCTCCATTTGTGGCATTCCCTGCCTTTCCAGTTAGTCACTGCTTGTGGATTTCTTTCAGCTTGTTCAAATTTCTGAGCAAATCCAGCTTGAGTCATGTGTCCACTCTTGGTGTGGGGAGATACTGCTCTTGACTGTGTGGTCATCCTATTACTTGTCAAGCTAGTACTTACTGGTTTATGCGTCCATTGGTGATTCTTGTCTGAGTCACTCCTGAGTGATGATTCTCTACTTCTGTTCTTCCTTCTACATTTATTAGTGGACATTCTACTGCAAACTAGAGCTTTCAGTCTCTCCTACATGATTATTTATTCATTTATTTGCTTTTATCACTATGAGTCCTCCCGCCCTCCTTCCCTTCCATACTGGGGATTGAACTGAGGGCCTTGGATTTCCATTTTATTCACTGGATTTTAATCTGTTACTCAGCTTGGTCCCCAGGTGACGGAGGGGGCCTAGTTGGAAAGTAGGTCTCTGGGTGTGTGCCCTTGTGGGTATATTAGGACCCTGGCCCCTCTCTCTTTGCGTTTTGGCTGCTGTGAGGTGAGTAGCTTTGTCCTATTCCGCACTCCCCAGTGTGAGGTTCTGCTCACATATGGCCAGTGGGAATTCTTTTAGTTCCTCTGTCTTTTGAACACTCATGTTCTTTTTGTTTGTTTAGTACTGGGTTTGAACTCAGGGCTTCATGCTGGCTAGGCAGGGGTGCTATCACTTGAGCCACTCCACCCACTTACTTCCTGATTTTTTTTTTTTTATTTGATCAAATAAGAGATTCCAGAGTGGTCTTGATTTCCTTTATCCCAAAATGACTGTAAGGCAGTCATTTCTCCAAGGAACCCTACCTCCCTTTTTTGAAAGTAGGGAGTGGGGTTTTAGAAGCAAAAAGCAGGGGCAGAGCCTGTGGCAGTAGAGGTATTGGTATGAACTTGTGATTTAAAAAAAAAGTATATCAGAGCTCTACCTGCAGGAAATACCCAGAAGCAATGATGTCCTAGAGACTAAATACTGCTTAGGGGATCAAATTTGATGTTTAATTTAGATTAAATTTTATTTAAGTTTACATTAAATTTGGTGTAAATTTAATGTTTCTGAGATAGGATTGAATTTAATGTTTAGTAAAAGTATGAGGTTTTATATTGATATCAGGCTCACATTATCTGAAAACTTTTTCTATTTTTTTTTTGCTATGTTGGGGTTTAAAGTCTGTGCCTCATACTTGCTAGACAAGCATTCTACCACTTGAGTCATGCCTCCAGCCCCTAATTGTTTGTTTATTTTTTAATATAAAGGAATTTGCTTCCAATTTGTAAATGACCAGTGCGGTCATTACCAATCTCAATGAACTTACTTGTGTTGTTTTTCTTGTGTATTAAACGGTGTATGCATCACACACACACAGATAACTTTTTTCTTGCTTTTCCTTCCTACTCCTTGAATTGAAGGTCATTGAGGGATAGTATGGTTAAAAAACCTTACTCTCAAAAGGCACTGCCCACCAAGAAGTCTTCCAACACCTCTGGGATCCGGAGGGTATTACCTAGAACCACTCATCCAGTACAGTATGTCACCTCACGTACTTGGACCCGGCAGGGCCGGCTAAGAGCATTGCGACTCAGGTGAGCTTGTGAGTGGTCACCTGCCTGTGGTGACTGTCCTTGTTCTTCATTCTTGGCTAAAACAAGGGAATTATTCTGATTTGTCCCATGTTAGTTGGAGAACGGGATGTCCACTCTTCATGGAGGGCCGGGGACATGGCTCAGTGATTGCTAGGCAAGCACGAGGCCCTGAGTTCAAACCCCAGTCCCACAAAACACAAAAAGAAAGGATATTTAGGAATGTGCCAACATCAAATCTGTCATTGAGTGTTGTCATTCATGTTGTTTGGTTGTGCCTGCATAATTAGCTGAGTCCTGCCACACAGCAAGTGTGAGGCCTGGAGTATAAACCCTCGTACCACCAAAAAAAAAAAAGCCACACAAAGGTTAGGAAGAAGAGTGTTTCAAACAATTGATTTGACATGCAGGCACTCTACCACTTGAGCCACACTTCCAGTCCATTTTATTCTGGTTATCTTGGAGCTGGGGGTTTTGTGGACTGTTTGCCCGGACTGGCCTCGAACCTCCATCCTCCTGATCTCAGCCTCCCAAGTAACTAAGATTACAGGTGTGAGCCACTGGCACCCGGCAAGACAATTCAGCTGTGTGTGTGTTCCAGGCAGTGTGCCAGGTATTGGGCTTACAGTGCAGAGGGAATGACAGACATGCTATGAGCCGATGCTATTGTTTCAGTGTCACACAAAGGATTTGGATAGACTGCTTGGAGTACACCGCTCTCTGTCGTGTTTGGGTTGGGGAAGGTCAAGATAAGTGCACATTTGTTAGGCACTTTAGGCAGGAAGAATAATATGAACAAAATAATTATGTACTTCCTTTTCCTCAGATCTGATGTCTGTCTCCTCATTGACAAAGTACTTTATATTGAAAGTGTTGGTAAACAAATCATCTGGTTGGGCATTGGTGCTCATGCTTGTAATCCCAGTTATTTGGAAGGCTGAGGCTAGGAGGATCTTGGTTTGAGGCCAGCCTGGGCAAATAGTTCCTGAGACTCCATCTCCAAAATAACCAGAGCAAAATGGACTCGAAGTGTGGCTCAGGTGGTAAAGTGCCTGCTTTGCAAGTGCGAATCCCTGAGTTCAAACCTCAGTGTTCCCCTCCCCCAAATAAAAAACCAAAACAAAAAAAACACCTGTCTGACTTTAGTTTTATAAATATTATAAATCTATCCCTTCCTGTTCTCTCTTTGAAGGATGATTAGGTATGATGTCACCTTTTGACTCATACTGGAGTCTCCCTTTGGGACTTTAAAAAGTTCCCTCTCCTTTCCAAAAAACTTGCATAAGCCAAATCAAGTTTTTAAATATGTATATCCTTTCTCTTTTTTTCAGATGCGTGGCCAGAAAGTTCTTGTATTTGTGGATTCGAATGACTTTTGGAAGAGTATTTCCCTCTAGAGCCAGGTAGTAGTAGTTTAGGACAGCAAGTTTCTGAGCTTATTCCAGATTTTTGTTTAATACTGACTGGCCTTGCTATAATGTCTGTTGTGGCAAGTGTTACATTCCTCTCCTGCATTCCCTCAGCCTCCAGCAGGCAGGAGCAGCACCTCCATAGCCCTGTGATACAATGTGACTTCTGCTGATTAGTGACTGGATGAATGTATGAAGGAATCACACTTAGGTAAATCAAGTCTGCTGTGTGTGGTGGTTTATGCCTGCAATCCCAGCTACTCAGGAGGCAGAGATCAGGAGGATCATGGTTTGAGGCCAGCCTCCCCAACCCCCACCACCAAAAAAATTATAATAATAAACCAAGACAGCCAAGAAAAAAGTACATGCGTTCACTCAGGGCGGTGTTGAGACTAACAGATTGGCTGGTCTGGGCAGAACCCGGGGAAATGGTGGCATTGGCAAGGGAAGTGGGATTTTAGTGAGGAGCAGATCTCTCTGTCACAGACCCTGTACTTTGTGGACATGTGCGTGTATGCATAGTATACAGATGCTGTGTGTTGTATTTATATGCTGTAGTTTGTATGGACCACCACCAGTCATTGCTGCCGTGCTTGTTTACAATCGCTTTAACTGCAGTGCCAAGAGCGAGTGCAAGAGGGAGTCAGAGGAGAGAGGAAGACCAATCCAGGGGCAGTATGGATGGACAAAGGGGCCCATGCTAGATGTGTTTGGGAAGAATTGATTTGTAAGCATTTCTAGAAACTGAAATGTCATGGTTTCTCTCCTTCTCTTTCACTTCTCTTACTACAACCTTTCCTGTTTCGTTGTTTTAACAAGTGTGACTTTCCTTAGGTCAAGGTCTTCCAGGCAAACTTGGCCTGTGCGTGTCTTCTGAGGTCTTTTCTCTGTACACCTGAGGGACCCTGCTGTCTCATCTCCTTTATGAGTCTCTGCAGTGATGCTGCTGCAATGATAGCAGCGGTCCCAGGTGCAGGAATGAGGCATCTTTTGGCTCTCTGCTCTCCTTTTCCTGTGGCCCTGTGTTTCTCTGCCTTGCTAGCTCTTCAGTTCCGAAAAATGATTTTGAGGGGATTAAGGGATATAGCTCAGAAACAGAGCATGTGCTTAACACTTACAAGGACCTAGGTTCAACCCTAGCTTCTCCCTCAGAATTCTTTTATTGTCCTACTTTTCTTACTGTTTGCTGGGAGAGTTGATCCAAGTTGCCTAGTTTACCACTATTGGAAGTCTCTTTCTTTCTTTTCTTCCTTCTTCCCTTCCATTCCTCTCTTTCTTTTTCTTAAAACTCTGATAGTGTGACTTTCTTCTCTGTTAGCTTAGAAATAATATACTCTTTTACTCTTCTTTTACGAGTGCCTTAAAGAATGTAACATTTATCTGTAACTTATTGATCTCATTTTAATTGGGCAGTTCTTGGTGGTCCTGGGTTTGAACTCAGGGCCTTGAACTTGACGCTTTATCACTTCAGCCTCACTCCCAGTCATTTTTACTTCTGTTATTCATTTATTTTTTTAATAAGGTCTCATGTTTATGCCTAGGCTGGTCAGGACTGTGATCCTCCTGTTTATGCTTCCCCCTTAGCTGGGATGACAGACCCAAACCACCACACTCAGTATAACTTTGGCCTGGAGTCTAAGTCTTCTCCCAAGTAACTAGGATTGCAGTCAAGAGCAATTGTGCCTGGCTTTTTTTCTTTCTTTTTTTGATGATACTGGGATTTGAACTAATAGCTTTGTACTTAAATCGGCTGTTGTTCTAACACTTGAGCCATACCCCCACCCCTTTTTTATTTAGTTATTTTTCTGGATAAGGCCTCACATTTTTGCCCAGAGCTGGCCTCAGACTGGATTTCTCTTAACTAAGGCCTCCTGAGCTGCTGAGATTACATGGGTCTTACTAGCTTTTGTCCTGGCTGGCCTTGAACCTTGATCCTCCCAATCTACAGCTCCTGAATAGCTTCGATTACAGTGTGAGCCGTGCCTGGCCTTAGTTGTTTTGTTTTTTTTTCTTTCATTCACTTTTTTTTTAAACCAACTCTTCCCCAAAAGGCAAGGTCTGTAGAATGTTTTAATTCTTCCTACACCCCTCTCCACTTAAATGCTCTTATAATGGCATATTTTAATTTTGTGTATATTTTAAGAACTACATAACATTATTCTCATTTTATACAGCCCATATTCATTTAGATTTATTCACTTATTTGCCTGTTTTGCTGTTTTTGTTTGTTTTGAGATGGTGTAACCCAGGCTGATCTCATACTTCATCTTCCTGCTTCAGTTTCCCCAGTGCTGGGATTATAGGCATGTACCAACACACCCAGCCCTTTGTTACTCTTTTTATCTTCTTGCATGTCCACATTTCTATTTGTGATGTTTTTTTCTTCCTCTATCATTAGAGCATACCTAAGTATTTCCTCTAGGGAAGGACTGCTGGTGCCGAATTCACTCAGATTTTGTCTGTCTAAAACAGTTTTGCTGGGCACAATGGCTCACACTTAGCTACTGGAGGGGCAGAGACTGGGAGGATAATGGTTCAAATGGGACAAAAAGTTAGTGAGATCCCATTTAAACCAATAAAAAGTTGGGCAAGCTGGATGCTGGTGGCTCATGCCTATAATCCCAGCTACTCAGGAGGCAGAGATCAGGAGGATCGAGGTTTGAAGCTAGACCTTATCTTGAAAATACCCATTACAAAAAAGGGCTGGTGGAGTGGCTTAAGGTGAAGTTCCTGAGTTCAAACTCCAAGACTGTCAGAATTTTTTTAAATAAAAATAATGAAATTCTTATTTTGGTTTCATTTTTTGAAGGATATTTTCACTGGGTTTAGAAGTTAGGTGCCTGTGTCTTCCCATCCTCCCAACACTTTGAAGACATTCTGTTGACTTATAGCTGCCATCTCTAAGCTGTTTGTTTACTCTTTGCTCTTTTGGAGAGTCATTCTTTGCCTGAGTTTTCAGAAGTTTTAATATGATTATGCCCAGGTGTAGATTTATCTTAAAATCTTTGAGCTCATTTGGAGTTTGTAAATTATGTTTTTTCTGTTTTGTGGCCCCATTTTTCTGGCATACTTTCTTTGTCCAGAGGCATGCTATCCTTATCTTCTTTTCTCATACAATGACTTTGTATAGGATTTGTCCTCAAATGCTTTTCCTTTTTATGCAAAACTAGTTTTCTCAAACTTTTGGGGTAAAAAGGAGGTTCAGTTCAACTTTCCTAATTTCACAGAGCTTCCTCTTCTGCTACTTCTGTTTAGGATTCAGAAATATGGTAGCTTGCTGTGTGGGCTATCCCACACAGAGGGCAGGTTTTGTTCCCTATCACACTTGGTCCAGATCTTCTCTTTCGCTATTTCTGGTCTTTCTCTTCCCCTTCTAGCAGTTTGTCCACTGCAGGAAGCCCTGGCCAAGAAGATCATCCTGCAGGTTGTTTGTGAGCCTCCACAGGCGAGGGACTGCTCAGCTGGCTCACTTCTTATGTGAGCCCCAGTACTGGAGGGGATAGGAACTCACCACCCTGTTCCACTCAGTTTCAGCTGGGCCCAAGGTGGGCCGCTGCATTGTTTGGTGATTACTTACTGGCCATCTGGGGTCCTCAAATGCCACATTCGTTACTCCTCCTTCCTGTACAAGTGATACTGTTATACAGGTCTTGTGACTGGGTGTGTTTTGTCCTCACCTGGTTGCATTTTGGATTCATGGGACACCTTGCCATCTAATTTTGTTGTAGTTAGCTCCTGAGTGTTTGGTTTTGCTACGTTGGTGTTCTGTGTATCCTATGGCAGATTCAAAGAATGAAAACTGTGTTGTCCCTCTCTCTGTTTCCCCAAATCATTTTCTTACCTAATTTTATTTATCCTATATCTGATCCATATATGACTGGGAACCTCTTTTCAAATAATATCTATTTATATTCCAAGTTCTTAGGAAGTGCTGATTAGTTAGAAATACAATTTTGACTCGAAGAGAAAGTCTGACATCGACTTGAACAGGTTGGGATTTGCTGTTTCTGACAAGCAGTCTGGGGTTGATTTAGCTGTTCAGGGATGCCATCAGTGTCTCAGTGTTAGTCCCTCTGTAGTTGACCATCCCTAGCACATTGGCCCTTTGCCCTCATAGGTGGACGCTACATAATTGTAAGGTGCATAGGAGGAAGGGAAAAAGGTGGTGTCCATTTGACCTGTCTCTTTATCTGTAAAGAAAACTTTCTTAAAATTCCCCAGTTGCATTCTAGTTCTTCCTCATTGGCCAGAGCTTAGTCACTGGCCCCCTTTAGCTACAGGGGAAATTGGGAAGGAATCTTCCTGGCTGCAGTAGTGGATGCTGGTATGGCAGCAGGCTTGGCAGTGTAAGGTGTAGGGCTGGCCAGGGAGGCTGCTGTCACAGTGCTGCTCTACTGTACAACATGAGCATTGCGCTGTCCTTTGTTTCCTTGTTCTTGGACGGTGGCAGGGTACAGAGGACTAGAATGTTGGACTAGCAGTCAGAAGACTTGAGCCTTGGTTCTACCTCTGGCCCTAGCTAATTGTTTGATCTGAGTTCAGTTTCTCCAAGTGTAAAATAAAAGAGTGAGAAGATTTGTTGTCTAAGCAGCTGCCAGAATCAGAATTCTGATCGTTTCCATACACTTAGAAATTTCTGATGGGATGATTGCTTTCCTATTGCAATCTCTTTTAAAATCAAGTTGATTATTTTTTACTTTGGGGAATATTTTGCATATTGCTCTGTGTTTTTGACTTTTTTTTTTTTTGCTGGGACTGGGGTTTGAACTCAGGGATTCACATTTGCAAAGCAGGCGCTCTACTGCTTGGATCACACCTCCAGTCCATTTTGCTCTGTTTATTTTGGAGATGGGAGGGGGTCTCTTGAACTATTTGCCCAGGGCTGGCCTCAAACCCCAATCCTCCTGATCTCAGTCTCCCAAGTAGCTAAAATCAGGCATGAGCCACCAGTGCCCAGCTTTTGGTCTTTTTTTCATACTGAGTTTTGTTTATCTCACTTTTAGAAATATTAGAAGAGAATGACATCATCTTAGGAACTGCAGAATAATGCCTTTATGTGCTTGGAAAATGTTTCAACTTTTATCATCAGTGATAGGGCACAGTGGCTCAAGTCTGCAAATCCTAGTTACTCAGGAGGCTATAGGTAGGAGGATTGCCAGTCCACGGCTGGCCTGGGCAAAACAGGAGACCCTTTCCCCAAAATAACTAAAGCAAAAAGAGCTGGGGGCACGGCTCAAGTCTTCAGCACTTGCCTAGCAAGCACAAGGCCTTGAGTTCAAACCTCAGTCCCAACCACAAAAAATTTTTTAGGGCTGGGCATGGTGGCACACATCTGTTATTCCAGTGTTTGGGAAGTGGAGGCTGGAAGATCAAAAGTTCAAGGCCAGCTTGGGCTACATAATGGGATACTGTCTCAAAAAAATTTTTTTTTCTAATTCGATGAATTAAAAAAAAGTTGAAAATGGTAATTCTCAATTCACTTACATACCATATGACCAGGTGGTAGAGCACCTGAGTGTGAAGCCCTGAGTTCAAATCCCAGTACCACTAAAACGAAAGGTGAGATTTTAATCTGATATCTTTAATTGGAAGAGGTACTATAAAATTTTAGCCTCATTTTTACTTTAGTTCTAAGTTTTTGAGCTGAAAAGTTACACATGTCTAAATCTGTTTTGGTGTTTACATTTCATGGAAAAGACAGTGACATATGAAACTGATCTGGGAGTAGACGTCACTTCTGACTCCCTCACTCACAGCTCTCTGATGTTTCTGTTGCCCTAGGTTCTACTATGAGCAGAAAATACTACGTAAGGTCTTTGGAGAATGGAAGGAAGAGTGGTGGGTTTCCCATCGAGAGTGGAAACTCTGTGTTCGAGCAGACTGTCACTACAGGTCAGATATGATGTCCCATAATTTCAATTTTATGCTTTTCAAGTATAGAGTGTGTGTGTGTGTGTGTGTGTGTGTGTGTACAGTACTGGGGTTTGAGCTCAGGGCCTACACCTTGAGCCCCTCCCCAGCCCTTTCTTGTGTTGGGGTATTTTATAATTGAGATAGGGTCTTGCGAACTGTTTGCCTGGACTGCCTTCAAACCACTATCCTCCTGATCCCTGCTTCCTAAGTAGCTAAGATTATAGGCGTGAACCTGGCTCAATATAGATTTTACATATCAAATAATTACTTGCTGACGTGTTTCTGGTCAAAAGGAAAAGAGTTTTCATTGCCTTCTGTGTTTATTCAAATTCTTCTTTCTTTTTTGTTGTTTTTTGATAGTGGTTGTGTTTGAGCTCAGGGCTTTGCGCTTGCTAGCTGTGCACCCTACCGCTTGAACCACTCCTCCAGACAGAAAGTAAATTTCTCAGTCCTTAACAATTCCCATTCCCCGGAATAAGTGGAGGAAAAAATGAAAAGTGGGAAAGATATCAAATACACATTTGTAGAACTTTTTAAAAAAGTGTATACCTCATGTTTTTAAGATAATAATCACTTCTTTGTCTAGGTTCTTTGGGACAGGAGTTCTGATTTGTGGATATTTCAGATAAAAATAAGACATTAATTGGTCCTAAGAAGCTGATAGAGTGTGAAAGTCTTCGAATGAGGGTTAGTGAAGACATGGAAGGGTGAGGTTTAAGGCATATGGCGTCCGTAACAAGGACAACTAGGAAAGGTGCTATTGCACCTTGAAAAAGGAGAAAATGTTACCCAGTGTGGACAATGAAGATGATCAAGTTATAAATGTCCCTGCAAACGTCTCAGGTCTGCAGTGCTGGGAGTGAGTTACTTTTGAGGAAGTCCAGCCTGTCTTCCTCAGTGACACTGAAGGTGTAGAGAGGGATTGTCCTTTCAGGAGAGGAGGCTTCACTACAATGATGGGAAATAATATTTAACTTAGGTGCTCATAGGGCTTTTTTGTGTCAGAAGTTTTCAGATTTATTTCTTCTAAGTGTAGCAGTCTGGGTCTGTTGGGCCAACTTGAAGTTGTGTTGTTGAGTTGTCTTAAAGGCTGTTTGCTCTTTGACTACTCAGGTACTACCTGTACAGCCTGATGTTCCACACCTGGAAGGCCTACGTGCGTCAGCGGCAGGAGATGAGGAGAAAACACATCAGAGCTGAGGACCACGGTGAGAAAAGGAAGCTTGTGCCTAAAGAGGTGCCACGTGCACTTTCCCAGAAGCCCTGGGAAGGATGGCACGTTGCTGTGAAGGAGTAGTTGTAAGCCAAAGTTGTTTTTCAGCGTGTGGGGTCTCTGCGTGGACTCCTGTCTAACCAGATCCTCGTGATTTTCTCCACATGCTGTGGTTTGGGCACTTACAGCTCATTTGGTCATCTGTGTGACTGGCTGCTCCTGGCCTGCTGCGCTGTCTGCTGGCTGTGACTCTCCATGACACCAGGCTGCCGTGTGTCTAGCTGCAGGGAAATGCGAGCAGAGCTGCATGCTCACTTCTGATCTGCTTTGCCTGAGTTGCCCGTTGGTGGTCCTGTGGCCGGTTTAGCTCTGGTCACGTCTGGTTTTTCCATGAGTGGAGCCCAGAAACCCACTGGGGAGTTCAAGGGAAGTGTCATGGAGTTTCAGAATGCTCACATGGCCTGCACCATACCATTGTCCCGTAGGCATGTCAAGCTCAGCACATCACCATACAGGTTGTCGACCCTCTACCAGTGAGACCTGATCTTCCTCCTGCTTGTCCTAAGTTACAAGCCTCATTAGGGACAGCTCGTCCATTGCTCTGATGATCAAATGGGGGTGCTGTTTCTCGTGCTCTCACTCCCTCCCTTGCTGCAGCGAGGTTTTCTCTCTCTCTCTTCTTGGTTATTACTGGATCTAACTGGGCTTGTGGGGGGAGGAGCGACTGGAGATTTTAGAAAAGACACAGGATAGACAGAAAGTTGGGGTCAGGTGTGTTGTATGCTCGGCTGGAGATGCACAACCCTCATTGCTTCTTTTCTCTATCTTGATTCTTTAAGGCCTTGCTCCTTGCAGTTCTTTAAAACCTTGCTTGAAACCTCCTTTCCTTAGGCTCGCTCTGTCCCATGTTTGCTGTCAGCTTATCTTTAGTTTAACTGCTCTTAAAGTCTTTTGCCCCCAGGCTCGCACCATCTTGTCACTCTTTTAGCTCTCTTAAAGCCTCCGTGGTCCCCAGACTTGCACTGTGCACTGTCCCGTGTCCTCTTTTGGCTTTAGCTTTCCTAAGGCCTATGTTTGAAGTTCTTTCTCAGCTTTGCTTTCTGAAGCCTATGTTAAAGTTCTCAGTGTAGACTTTCTTTCAACCCCTCTTTAGCATTTTCCCTTTAAGCAATTGTTCCTTTTTCCCTTAGCAGTTTCCCTTCAACAATTCTGTTCCCTTCCAAAAGTGTCCTACACCAAAAAGCCCAAAGTAAAGCCCCAAAAGCAGAAAGCAAAAGCCCCTCTTCGTCTTTCAGGGGTCTTTTATAGCAGCAATGAGGGTGGCGCCACGGGGAGGGCCATGTTGTGACATTGCAACAGGAGAAACCTGCCTTCCTGCTTCTCTGAACACAGCTCAGGAGACATAGCTGTTCTGCCTTTCCCTGTTTCGTGGTGAGGGCTCCAGGTAAAAGCAATTAACTGCATCTCACCTTGGTTGTGTCCAGTTCTCATAGGCTTTAATCCGCTCCCCACAGTTACTGACACAGGCAGTCCTTCAGTTTAGGTAACTCTTTACAGGCCTCCCGACTGAGTTACACCAGACACATTGTTACAGTAGTTAGCTGGTAAGTGACTCAGGTTGTTTTATTTTTTATTTTACATACAGTAAGACTATTCTTACTAGTGTACAGCCCTATGAGTTTTGACAGGCACAGAGCCCTTTAACCACTGCCTCAGTCAGGAGTTGGAGCTGTTCCCTCATTCCCATTGGTATTTTCCTGTGCGAACCCTTTTCGCACCTTCCCTCCACATACAACCCCTGGCAGTTACGGAAAAGTTCTCTATCGACTCATATAATGCATAGCTTTTTGACTCTTCTTTCACTTAGCACAGCGCATTTGAGATTCCTTCAACTTGTTTCCTGTGTCAGTAGTTTGCATTCTTTTTTATTGCTGAGTAATATTCCATTTCAAGGATATACTCGTTTCCATTCACCAGTTGAAGGAAATAATCTTCAATAATTATGATTAATGTAGGAACATTCATGTGTACGTTTCTGTGTGACTATTTTCCATATGTAAATGATCTAAAAGTAGGACTGCTGGATTGTATACTGGTAAATCTTAGTTTAATTTTACAAGAAATTGTCAAGCTGTCCGCTACAGTTACGGTACCATTTTGCATTCCCGTCAGCAATTTATGAGGATTCTACTCGCTCTAAATCTTTTTTTTTTTTTTTTTGAGGTACTGGGGTTTGAACTCAGGGCCTACACCTTAACCCATTCCATCAGCCCTTTTTTGTGAAGGGTGTTTTTCGAGATAGGGTCTCGCGAACTATTTGCCCAGGCTGGCTTCAAACTGACAGCCTGCTGATTTCTGCCTCCTGAGTAACTAGGATTACAGGCATGAGCCACTGGTGCCTGGTGCTCCAAATCTTATTAACTCTTACCATTATTGTTTAAACATTTTTTAACTATACTAATAGTTACCTGAATGCTGGACGGGTGCTCATTGTAGTTTTAATTTGCATTTCCCTAATGGTATATGATGCCGAGTATCTTTTCCTGTGCTTATTTGATTTTTGGTGAAGTGTCTGTTGAGAATCTTTGTATTTACTTATCTTTCAGTGGGACTGGGATTTAAACTCAGGACTCCATGTTTGCAAAGCAGGTGCTTTACTGCTTGAGCCACACCTCTAGTCCATTTTACCGTTATTATTTTGGAGATAGGGATCTCACAAACTGCCTGGGCTGGCCTCAAACTGAGATCCTCCTGATTTCAGCCTCCAAAGTAGCTAGGATTGCAGATGTGAGCCACTGACACCTGGCTCAAAATCTTTTAAATTAGGTTGTTTATGTTCTTATTGACTTTGGGGAGTTTTTTTGGTGGAGTACTGGGGTTTGAGCTTAGAGCTCAGGTTTGCTAGGCAAGTGTTCCACCACTTAAGCCGTACTTGCAGCCATTTTTGCTTTAGATTTTTTTCAGCTGGAATCGTGATTTTTGCCTGGGACCATCCTTGGACTACAGTCCTCCTGCCTGTACCTACCACGTAACTGGATTACAGGTTGGAGCTACTGTGTCTGGCCTTTTTTTTTTTTTTTTTTTAATATACTAAGCCAGGTGAAATGACACACACTTTTAGTCTCCAACTACTTGAGAAGTTAAGGCAAGAGAACACTTGAGTTTAGCCTGGGCAACATTTTAAGACATGGAGGTCATACTAATAGAAGGGTAGTGGCAGGAAGGGGGAGGGTAAATGAAGAGGGTAAAGGAGGGTGAGTATGTTTGAGGTACTGTCTATATGCACGTGAATGTGTCACACTGAAACCTGTTGAAGTCATTTTAAGAAGGGGAGAAGGGGAACAGAGAGAATAATGGACAGGATGAACCAAACCAGGGCACAATGTATGTATTTATGGAAATGTCACAACGATCTCCTCTGTATAATTATCATATACTAATAAAAACTAGCTTAGTTGGGCACCAGTGGCTCACACCTGCAATTCCAGCTACTTGGGAGGGTGAGATCAGGAGGATCTCAGTTTGAAGCCAGCCTGGGCAAATTGTGAGACCCTCCCCCCAATCTTGAAAATAAGTACAGCAAAATGGACTGTAAGAGTGGCTCAAGTGGTATATCAGCTGCTTTGCAGGCGCAAAGCCCTGAGTTCAAATCCCAGTGTCAACCAAAAAAACAAAAATTAGAAAAAAAGAAGGTTGCAATTCATATCTTAAAATGGGCAGGTGAACTATGGATTAAACATGAACAAACCATAGGAGCCTAAAAAAAACATTTCAAGACCCCATTCAAACAATCTGTATATATGCATGTGGACATGTGTGTACATCTGGGAGGTATGGAATGTTCTGTATGCAATATATGTATGCATGCGTACTCTGCTTCCAAGTCTTCTGGGAGCAGCATGATTTGCAAATGTTTTCTCCCAGTCTATGGCTTGGCTTCTCTTAACAGAGCAGAAGTTTTTCACTCTAAGCTGGGTGTGGGGCGCAAACCTGTGGTACCAGTTACTCTGAAAGTGGAGTTAGGAGAATTGTGGTTCGAGGCCAGCCTGGGTAAAGTTAGTGAGAAACCCTATCTGAAAAACAAGCTAAAAGCAAAAGGACTGGGGGTGTGGTTGAAGTGGTCGAGTGTTTGCCTAGCAAGTGTGAGGCCCTGAGTTCAGTCCCCAGTACCTCCAAAAAAAAATTTATAATTTTTGTGAGTTCAGTTTATCCATTTTTTTATTTTATGGATTGTTTATAAGACACACACATACATGTAGTTGTAGTTTTGATTTTTTTTTTTGAGACAGGATCTTTTTATGTAGCCCATGCTCACTTGAACTCATTATCCTTTCACCGCAGCCTCTTGACTGCTATGATTACAGCATAGATGCACTATGCCCAGCTTTTTTTCTGTTGAGATGAGGTCTTGGGAACTTTACTTTTCTTGGTCTGGGCTGGCCTGAAATCATGATCCCCTCACTTCAACTTCCCGAGTAGCTAGGATTATAGGTGTGAGCCACCCTCCCAACTCAGTCTTTCTTTTTATCTTGTTTGTTATACTTCTCAATTATTATTTCAAACATTGAGCTTATGCATGATTTCTCCTTACTTAACTTCATATTATGGGAAAATGTAAATATCTACAAAACCGAATGAGAGAAGTATGAACTTTCCTGCATCCATCACCATTTTCAGCCGACTTCAACCCCACCCATCTCATCACATCCCTGTCCTCACTTGTTTTTCTGCTGCCTATTCGTTCACCATCATTTCTGAAAATACTGTAGCGCAGATCCCTTAAAAATAAGGGATTTTATTTCTTACAGTGCTGGTGATTGCATTCAGGACCTGTGCTTCTAGGCCAATGCTCTACCACTTAAGCCACACCCCAAGTCCTTTTTGCTTTTACTTTTTCAGATAGGGTCTTGTGTTAACTCTGCCCAGGATGGCCTCAAAGCATGATCCTCCTAACTCCACCTCCTGAGTAGCTGAGAATACAGGCATGAACCACCATGCCTGGCCAAAAATAAAGGATTTTACTATGAAGTATCTCTGAAAAGTCCAACACATTGATTTTCCTTCTAAGTGCTTTTTAAATGTCCTCACTTACATAGTCTTCATGTGTATACTTGAATCCTGATAAGTTTTGCAACCCTTCACAATGCTTTCAGCAGGGGGCACTTGAAGACTGGAAGGATTTAGGTGTTTAAAAGTGGAATGAGTACCGAGAGCCTCCCGGAGTTTTATCTTAACCCAGAGTAATGCATCTCTCTCCACCCCTTAAAAAAAAACCAACCCATCTGTTTGTCATCTTTAGATGCAAAGCGAAAGATGCGATGGGCCTGGAAATCCTGGTTGATCCACGTGGTGGTTCGGAGGACCAAACTCGAGATGCAGATGACTGCTCAGGAGTTGAGGCAGCGGAGCATGCTATGGTGAGTGCTGAGAGCCCCACAGACCAGACCGTCCGCTCACCTCAGCCTCTTCAACCCACCTGAAAACAGTGTGTCACACACAGCATTTACTGATCACTTGTTTGCTACCAATTGAGTGCTTGCTGTGTTCTCAACCTCATGTTAAGGTCTGTGTGTTAATTGTTTAATGTGAAGTGTGTCATTTAACCTTTGTCGTAAATTATAAGCACACTATTATATGAGATATACAGTAAGGCTCAGAAAATGTTGAGTAACTTGTCTGAGCTCATGTGAGCTGTAATTGTCAAAACTAGGGCTCGCCACCCCTTTCTCTTAACTGCTACTCTGCACTGCATCTGACCAGCATCGTAGGCACATCAGAGGGACAAAGTCAGTTTACTTTCAAAGCAGACATGTGGCCAGGCATCGTGGCCCATGCCCTATAATCTTGGCTACTAGGGAGGCTGGGGTCTGAGGGTCACCATCTGAGGACAGGCAGAGCGTGAGAGCCTATCTAAAGAAAACTAAAAGAAAAAAGAAATGGCTAGAGGTGTGGCTCAAAGTGGTAGAAAGCTTGTCTAGCAAGCTGGAGCCCTGAGTTCACTCCCCAGTACCACCAAGAAAAATAAAACATAAAGTGTAACAGTGAGCCGCTTTGTAATGGGGCTGGATCCCCTGTTCTTCATCTCTGGGGCTCTCCGGATCCTGAATGGCACTGTGCTAAACGCTCAGGAGCGAGGCACAGAGTAAAGCCTGGGCAGCTTTGTGGCTGCAGGGACTTGGGTTTGAACCCCTGCCCCAGCGTGTGTTTCTGGGTCTTCTCTCCTCTCCCAGCTCCCCTTTTCTCATCTGTGTATCCTGGCTTCTTGGGAGGCGAGGATCAAGAGGATTGTGGTTTGACGCCAACGTGGGGAAAAAAGTGAACAAGACCCCATCTCAAGCAACAAGCTTGTTGTGGTGGTGCATATCTGTGGTTCCAGCTATGTGAGAGGCATAGGTAGGAGGATTGTAGCGTAAGGCTGGCCCCAAGCAAAAACGTGAGACCCTGCCTAAAAAATAACTAAAATCAAAAAAGGGTTGGAGGCATGACTCAAGTGGTAGAATACCTACCTATCGAGCATGAGGTCCTGAGTTTGAACCTCAGTACCACCACCAAAAGAAAACAAAAAAAGTAGAAAAGAAACCAAGACTGAAATGAAAACCTGGCTGGAACCAGTAGGAAGGGAAGGGTTCCAACAAGACTGGAAATCCAAAAGCCACTTTTTGATTTTTGGGCAGATTGTTCTGTGAAATCTCCTGATGTTTAAATGTGGGCAGGACTCATAGTTTTAGAAAAATAAGCTGTGTGGGCCAGAGCATGTCTATGGTGCCTAAGGTTGGATTTTTTTTTTTTTTTTTTTTGGCAGTACTGGGGTTTGAACTTGGGGCCTCACACTTGGTAGGCAGTGGTGAGCCACTGTGCCAGCTGAAGTCTGGGTCTGACACTGGGAATCCTCAGCTTCCAGAGCTTCGCTGGCAGCAGGAAGACTGGCTCTTGGTTATAGGTTTTCTCTTCAGCGGTGAATCCAGCAGATAGCATTCTAGAGGTAACACTGTGAGGGACCAGGCTGTGAGCTGAGGAGCCCTCACCGTCCTCCCCTTCTCCTTCCGGCACAGCTTTTTTTTTTTTGTCTGATGAGCACCATCTTTGATTTGCTTTTTCAGGGTGTGGTGGGGCAAGTGGAGGCAGCAACTAGGCGAGGTCCGCGTGAGCCGCGCACTCGAGGCTGTAGCCGTAAAGCACAGGACCCTGATCCTTCAGCTGCAGGTGCGTCCTGTGTTGTTGGTGGGAAGCCATCTTGTCCTGGTTTTTGTTGGGAGGGCAGCCCCAGCGCTGAGGAGGGGTGGGAGCAGAAGCAGTATGGAGGGCTGAGCACTTGGAAGGCCAAGTGCTCTTGTTAGAGTAGGCAGAGGCTTGCACTCCATGTGATGTGATGCCCATGCCGCAGAGGCAGCTTCTGGTAACTATGGAGCTGAAAGATTTGTCACTTCCTTACAAACTGGTCAAAGAAGCAGCAGTGTATTCTGTTTCCTCATTACCTGTTTTTCTATAGCAAAATAGAAAACAATGGGTGCAGAAAAGAAACTAAGACTCAAAAGAAATCCCTGCCGTTTTCTTACAGCTTCATTTCTCTTACAGGTCTCTTTTAGGGAAGCCACTAGCTTTTGGTCAGTGATAAAGGCCTAAAGCCAGTATTAAAACTGGTACTAAAAGTGTGCTAAAACTTTTTACAGCCTTTGACATCTCTCTGAATTTCTGTCATTTTGTGTGTGTGTGTGTGTGTGTGTGTGTGTGTGTGTGTGTGTGTCTGTGGGGTTCTCAATAGTGCTGCCAAATTGTTGAAAATAGAACACACTTATTACTAAGTTAGGACTGAGTATCTTTTTAATTTGACAACATATTATGTAGTCTATCCCAATATATGCAGACCCCATGTAGATAGCACATACAGGGGCTAGAGTTGTAGCTCGGGGTTAGAGGACCTAGGTTTAACCCAGTATCCCAAAAATTGCATGTGCAATCATCTAAATTAGAGGTCAGTAAACTGTGGCCCAAATTTGGCCTGGTTTCTGTTTTTGTAAATAAAGTTTTGTTAGGACACTCCACACCCATTTGTTTATGTAGCCTCTATGGCTGCTTTTAGGCTACAAAGGCAGACAGTATCTGCTGAGAATAACAGCAGCAGCAGCAGCAGCAGCAGTATTTTTTCTTTCTGTTCTTTTTCTGATGCTGAGGATCACACTCCGGCCCCCACACAGGTTAGGGAAGTGCTTCGCTGCCGAGCTGTACTCCCAGCCTGGCAACAGGAGAAAAATTGTGGTCTTTCTTACACTAGGCTGTGGTCTAACAGCTTTACGCACATTATCTCATTGGCTTTTCATAATTCTGGTTGTTATTTTTTGAGATAGGTTCTCATTATGTAGCTGAGCTTGCCCTGGAACTTGTGATCCTCCTACCTCAGCTTCCTGAGTGCTGGGATTACACACCTGTGGCCCCACACCTGGCTCTGTTTCTTTTTCTCTGTTGAGAAAACTAGGAAAGTTAAATAACTTAAACCAGCAATGGTCAGGATTTAACCCATGTAGCCTGAGCACTGCAGAGCCTTTCTCTTAACCACCATGCTGTGTGGTCCTTACTGTAGACTTGTAACTCTGAAGGCAGGTGGAACTGATGTGGGTCGATGTCAACAGGAGCATAACGAGACGTTCTGTCATGGGATGTGCACGTGTTCCTCCCTTCACACAGCCACTTTGAGAGGCTGTAAACTCCACTGACGTTATTATTGCTCAGAGCATTTGCAGAGTTCCTTTTTTTGCAGTTGGCTTCAAGGTTTGCAACAACAGATTGTTTTTGGTTATAGAGGTTTTCAGGCTTTGAGGATGGATTTCACTTATGAAAACAGCCAGAGCCACTCAGACTCAGATCCAGTCAAAAATGTGAGTCATTATCATTAGAGCTGCTGCTTTGCAAGCACTGAAGCCCTGAGTTCAAATTCCAGTTCTACCAAAAAAAAAAAGTCATCAAGATATTATTTATACTGACCCCAAACCAGATGAGGCTTGGCGACTGGGCTTTGTTGTGTGAATATTAAGTTATAATGCTTTGTGTCTGATAAGTACCACATGGCTTACCAAGTATTTACACTTAAGTCATTTCTCTTAATCCTCACAGTATCGCTATGAAGCGTGGGCCAGGGTAGACCTCATGAGATAGGTGAGCCTTACAAAAATTGCATTCAGATGTTTCAAATGTAGAAACATACAGCAAAACATTTATAAGAACAGTGACACACATGCAAGTATCCCCATCCAGATTTAAAAGGTGTTATCTCGTTCTATACTTGCTCTACAAGTTTTAAAGAGAGGGCTTTGTCAATGCACTGCCCTCTCATCTGCTGCCTCCCTTCTCAGAGACAGACGTTCTTTTAATCCTGATATGATCACTTGCCTTTATTTTGTTTTCTTGGAAAAAGGTGTGCATACATATTCATAAAGAGTAAATGTTATTTATTTGCATAGCTAAAATATTTATGAATGATGTCCTAATATTTACTATGTAGGTTGCTTCTTTTTATTCTTAGGTTGCCTTTTTTTTTTTTTTTTTTTTTTAAATGCAGTGCTGTTTTGGACATTTGTCCGTGTGGGTACACAGAGATCTCTCCTTTTTTTGTTGCTGTGCTGGAGATCAAACCCAGAGCCTCCTGCATATTAGGCGAGTGAGCGACACCCCAGCCCTTACAGAGATCTGTTAATTGTATGTTATGCCCTTCGTGTGAATAAGGCACAGCTTATCTGCTCAACTCCAGATGGACTGTCGGTTCCTCTGTGTCTGTGCCTGTGCAGTTACAAACAGTGCTGCAGAGAACACTATGAAACCTGTCCTCCTCGGTGTGCAAATGTTTGTCCAGTCTGGTTTTTACCCAGCTGCTCTCCCAGGCTGTCCCAATTCAAGTGCTAATGTTTGAGTTTGAACTCTTTCAGGCTCATCAGCCATTGCAGTGGCACAGCTGCTCATTTTTACCAACTTGATGCCTAATGGCAACTCATGTTTGCTCTTTCATGGATCATGATGAGGCCCTGCTCCTTTCCATGAGTTCATTTGCTGTTGGGTTTCTGCTTGTGATCACGTTTACTTCCCTTACCCCTGCTCTTCTTTTGGGTGTTTGCTCTTTTCCTTCTGATTAGTAGACACAGTTGTTGGTTCTGCTTCCTAATGCTTTGCTGTAGCTTGCGGTCTGTGTGAATGGTACTATTTTCATTAATTCCAGTGTGGCCTCATTTATTCCTTTACCTTGTGGTTTGGCCTTTAATACATCTTGGGTTTAATTGTGCGAAGCAGGAAAGCTGATCGTTTCCCATCTGCATAACCAGCCCTTTTTTGTGATGGGTTTTTTGAGATAGGTTTTTGCAAACTATTCGCTTGGGCTAGCTTCGAACTACAATCCTCCTGAGTAGCTAGGGTTACAGGCATAAGCCACCAGTGCTTGGCTCTGTCATTTTTTGACAATGATTAATGATGCCCCCATGATAGACAGTCTCACATCTACTCATGCATCTGTTTCTAGACTCTCTATTCCCTTGCTTTAATTGTCTCTAAGCCAGCATCTCACCATTTTAGTTACCATTTAGTGAAGCAGGTAAGAGCGAGCACAGGCTCTTCCCCAGGAGGCATCTCAACGTCTGTCACCTGCTAGCTCTGTGCCTGTGAATGGGTTGCTGCCTGTTCCTCATTATGTTGATACAGATGGCAGCAGTAGCTGCCTCATGAAATTGTCAAGTAGTTAGTGTGATGATACATGTAATTGCTGTGAGCAGTCCCTGGAGTATGGAAGTGCTCAACAGGTGCCAGCTGTTTATTAGTATTCTTTCTGTGTTGCTAGGGTTTGAACTCACTAGGCAGATGCTGTGCCAACTGAGCCACACCCCCAGCCCTTTCTGCTTTAGTTTATTTATTTATTTATTTATTTGGGGTGGTACTGGAATTTGAACTCACGGCTCATGTTTGCTAGGCAGACGATCTACCACTTGAGCCACTCTGCCAGCCCTTTTTTGTGTTGGGTATTTTTGAGATAGGGTTTCACGTATTTGCCCTGGTTACCTTGAACTTCGATCCTCCTGATCTCTGCCTCCTTGAGTGGCAAGGATTACAGGCTGAGCCACTAGAGCCTCGCTCTGCTTTAGTTATTTTTCAAATAGCTAGCATCTTGTGTTTTTGCCCAGTACTGGCCTGGACTGCAGTCCTGTATATATCACACCTGCATGCTCAGCTTATGATTGAGATGAGGTTTTGCTAACTTTTGGCCCAGGCTTGTCTTGACCTGGATTGTTCTGATCTCCATGTCCTGAGTAACTGGGATTATAGGTATGAGCTACCACGCCCAGCTATATCTACATAGCTCTTAAAGAGTCTACATATGGGAGAGGGTCTTCTTTATTCTTGTTCTTTTTAAAATATTGTCTTGATTATTATTCTTTCCTCTTATTTTAGGGTCAAGCTCCACAGCAAAACCTATTAGGATTTTTATTGCAGATACTGACTTTTGACATGAGGTTGGGAGAATTGTCATGTTTACAATAAAAGGCCATCCCATCCATGAATATTGACAAGTATGAGAGGAAAGTAGGAAGGACAGCCATGAGCTCACGGAGCCAGACCGGATGGGCTTGCAAGCTGCACCCCATAAAGCTTTGGCTTTTTTTTTTGTTCCAGGAGAGGTGGGAGCTGCTGGCTGTGAGCAGAGGAAGTGACGTGATTGCATGTACCTTTTAGCAGGGTCCCTCTGCCTCATAATTTGGTGCCTTTGGGATAAGGAAGGGACATAAACTTGTGAATATGTTTGTGTGTTTTTGCTTATATTTCTAAAATGAAATAATGGAAAAATAAAGCAGAAACTTACATGAGGAGGGAGAGAACTGCAGAAACAGTGTACTTCTGTGAGTTAATTTTATTGCATGGTTTTAATTTTGGAGCTATGTAAATATTTTACATAATTAAAAAACCAAAAACAAATCAAAAGGCAATTCATAGAATTTTAGCTTGGTGTGGTTGTGCATGCCTATAATCCTAGCTACTTGGAAAGTGGAGGCAGGAGGTTCGAGAGTTTGAGGCCAGCCCAGGCAATCATGGTTACCCTATCATAAAAACAAAATACAAAACAAAAGGGCTGGGAGCATTGCTCAAGTGGTAGAGCACTTGCCTAGCATGTGGGAGGCCCTGGGTTCAATTCCCCTACCCTCAAGAACCAAAAAAATAAAGCAAACCATGGA